TACATTTTATCAATACTCTTATTTTTCCAACGGATTATTTAATAATTGGATTTAAATCAATTAATTCTCTTAAAAAGTGCTTAATAACGTGAATTTATCACTGGTCCGCGTCACTTACCGCGCTACATGTAAAGACGGTTCTACATTAATTGCAAGCCGATCGCAAATTTGTTGCGTCAGCTAATCTGAAACTTGCATTTTGAAATCAACGCTTTATATTGGCTGTCGCAACAAACTTGCAATCGGCTTGCAACTAAACGGATCATCATTCTCTTAGATCTGTTTGCAAATTTCGCAAATAGATGTAAGAGAATGATTGGCGATACGCAAATTCGCTTACGCACGATCCGCTGCATGGAACATCATCCTAATCAACGAGAAAAGAAGCAAGCGACTGTGCTTCTTATTTAAATCTAACAAAAAAATAAAGATAGCCAATCACATTAAAGGATCATATAAAGGAATCACTCAACGATCTCTTGTATATAGAAGATGCCCCTACCATCTAACAATTAAAGCAGTCAGGAACAATCAGAAATAAAGATAAACAACAAAAAGCAAAATATTACAACTTGTTAGGAAATGTTAGAAATTTTTATTTTGATCTTTGCATATACATGCTTAATATATTTTACAAAGCTCTCAAACTGATAAACAAAAACAGCGAGAAGTTGGCGTGATCGCTGATCATGGTACATTAATATACTATATCATAAAAATGATTTAAAAAAAAATAGAAAAAATTTATAAACATTTTCGCAACCATTCACATACACTTGGCACGTCGTTAATAAATTCGTTATGCAGATAACAGCACTGTTGCAGATATGAGATTGATTTTTCTCAGTGAGTTTACATTTTATTTTCTTTTGTTTTCGTAAATTCTAAGCTAATCCCAATTACCATTGCAAGATCACAATATCTCTCACACTTTCTGAAATTGACAAAAGAATCTCTCGTATGAATTATTTATTAGAATGCGCAAGATGGTTTTAACGACTGAACAATCAGATATATTTATCACTTACACAAAATATTAGGGTACGATCAGAAAATACTCTTAGATAACTGTAGGCTATAATTCATTTTACGCAAAATATAAAATAATTATAGCAAAAGTGAACTAGAGTTTTCTGGGCGTAATTCCTGAACGCACACCTAATAGCGATACAATTGACTCACCGAGAAAAAGAATTATCCGAATATTTCATCAAAATATGCAACTATAAAATATATGGTGAGTTTTTATGTAGCAACAAACATACCGATGATTTCCATCTATTTCTCGTTGAATTGCATTATCTTGTTGAGGAAAGTAGACAGAATTAATTCTTGAAGCAGCCAGCTCTGCTCGCTTCATTTATAAATCTATTCATCAAATTCTCATTTTCAAGTTTGGCGAAATTTTCTGTTTTCACCACAGCCCTCATATGAATAACGGCAAACCGGATGCAGAATTTTCTCAGCTCCTAAAAAATTACCAACAGCATTCAATTATTGTACATATATGGATACATACACAATGAAATGTTAATAGTGACTACCTTTGTATCATACTTCACTGCAAAGCTATAAAAATAGGCGACATTTGATATAGTTATTCCTTGCTTTATTCTATAAATGCACTGCTTCTTGAGATTGTCCTCACAATAAGCATTGGCCAAATCAAAAAGTTCTGTTAAAAAAACGTTGCTTCAATTATTTAACGCGTTCAGTGGATTCAACAGTTAAGTGAACATTCGTTGCTATTGATGTATTCTTCCAGATCTGAAAGTCTGATTGAATGAGTTAGAAAAATACATTAATATCAACGTGCTTACTCAAATGTTTAGTCCGCTGAATGCATCCAATGAGTATTTAGGCCAATAATCGCTAATAATATACTCCACTTACCTGATACCTTCTCAAAGGTATTTATAAGATATAAATCGACTGTATTGGTATATAAATACTTTAGATATGCTTTGTAGACATCATGGGAAACTTTATCAATCTCGATGACACTGTTGGGAGAGAATGACGTTGACATGAGCAAAAACTTGAGAAAATTTTACATAAATAACACTGATATTTATTTAATTGATATTTAACTGATATTTAAGCTATTACCTTTGGTTGTTTTCTGCCCAATCATGTTCAAACATCGTTCTGAAGTGTAAAGAGCAAATTTTCAAGATAACCTTGTGCACATAGATACATTTGCCCTCCACTTGTATTTTGAAATCGCTTGTCAACTATATCACAAACAAGAGAACAAGTCATGAGAAACAAATGTAAACCGTATTAGTATACCGTATTAGTATGATATATAAAATAATTGTCACATTTATCTAAAATCTGGAAATTAAAATCTAGGACAAACTCTATTATACTACCAATTAAAGTACTCGCCCTAGTTTCGATACCTTTTTTATCTAGAAATTTCTAAAATTAAGCTAATAACGTAATTAAAATAAGATATTAATAGAAAATAATAAAATCTTAACCATTATAATAAGGATAGAAACATTATTATCTAAGCAATCAAACATGAAGAGACAGATTTCAAGGAGAATGCTATCAATTTTTGAGAAATTAAATAAAATTCACACAAAGTCTGTAATATTTGACAATATCGATAAACTGCCGCCAGAAATAGGACAAAGCTTATTGAAATGCATTGCCAGTATATTGGTAGCAGGAACCGAGTAAGAACTTTTGCAGCTTCTGTTCGATTTTTGTTATCATCTGTATTGCATGCCGGTGCATGTAGATCTTATTCGGTTTTTGTTAATCTATTAATGTATCTGTTAATCTGTTAACATACTGGCGTAATAAATACATCAGTCTATCAATAGATATTGAATCTTAATACGCACATGGACAAATATGGATCTACAATAGGAATCTGATCAAATTTGCTGTCAATCTGTCAATAAACTACTAGCTATATGGATATACTGATAATAATAATGTATGCACAAGTATAAATGTATTATTAGTAAAACTTATTCTTTTTAGCTGAATTTCTTGCAATGTTCATTTCTTCTTTTCTTTTTTTTCAACATGAAAAAAAGAGGAAAGTGAAACTGTGCAAAAAGTTTAAAAATAAGATCTCTCTTTAAAACAGATCTCAGAGCTATTTATTTCAATTGCATTTTTTCCTTCTCAATATTGTATTTGTTTCATTGTACATTTTGAAAATGTGAAACAAAGACATACAGAATCGTCGAATGCAATTCCCAAGCATCCCAATATGTCCGGCTTTTCGTTCAGAATCAACGGTTTGTGCATAATGCTCGGCCCGTAGTGCCCAAAGGTGTCGTGCACATTGAAGGATGAAGTGGCGATTGGGGTCGAGATGCACTCACCGCGGCAATCACCCCAAACATAGATACGTCCTGCTTCAGTGACAGCAATGCTAGTGTTGGTCAGAGCCGCAATGTCGACCCATCTCATATTTTCCATTTGACTGACCTAATTGGTAATTATTGATCATGACTACCTTTGCTCTATCTTTCCATTTTTTTATTCTATTTCCTTCAAGATAACGATAAATATAAGCCTACTACGACTGGTGTACAGAATTCCGTCTGGTTGCCGTTCCCTAACTGGCCGAATTTGTTTCCGCCCCAGGCGTAGATGATTCCTTTGTCTGTGAGCGCCAACGTGTGATTTAATCCGCAAGTTACCTTGTCTATAACAATACTGCTCAATAATTCTGTTTTGCTTTGTCATCTTCTTCTTTATTTACTGCTTTATTGAAAAGAGAATTACCTACAATAAGGTTTTCCGGTATACCAACCAACTGCGGTGTGATATTTTTATTCTCAAAATTGCTTGCTCCTCCAGCTAAGCCAGCTTGGCTAACTGGAGGTATCTGGCCCCAAAGTGAGTTGCTTCTCTGCACACTAACAGTCTGTCGCAGCATATTTTTACTCTCATAGTTGCCTATTCCTAGTTGGCCAATGTCGTTATTGCCCCAACCATACACCTTGCCATTTCTGGTGACAGCCATGGTGAAGTTATCACCGCAGGAGATACAACCAACATTAGATAAAATAAGTTTAGGTGTTATAGAAAGTCCATAGGTACTGTTACCCAGTAACTGTCCACTATTATTTGATTCCCAGGCATACACCTTAATCAAATCAATTATTTAATTTATATGATAACAGAGTTATCATACAACAATGTTTACTTACTTCGTCATTCTTGGTTAGAATAATGGAATGTTTATTGCCGCATGCGATGTCCACGACATGCTTCATGTTCTGACTGTCTTGAATAGTAGGGATGTTTATTAAAGTAAATGTAAGATCCATATTAAATGTTTCATTCTTCAATTGACCATAAATGTTGCCACACGAATATACCTTTTGCAGACATTATTATTATTGACTCTAATATCTTATAAATGCATCTATTAATTTGGCAATTTCATAAAACTTTTGATAATTCTTTTAGAGTTGCTGGATACATGAATGAAAAATGATAAAGTAGAGAAATTCAACCATCAATTTTTTTATACATAAGCATCCTCTCTTCCATAGCAAAAAACTTCAGTGGCCTAATTTCCACCAAGAGTTTAAATCGGATCAGAATGTAAGAACCAATCAACTGCAGTCGAGTATTCCTCTATTACAGTCGAACGACAGGGGACTGATTCTTGAATATTCATCAAGTGAGGAATTAAGGGCAAGATCAATCATATTATATATATATATATATATATGTA